AAGCTGAGTGCGGTCTGTTTGCCGTGTACGCCACACACACTTGTGTGCGTAAAATGTGTGATGTGTTTAATATGTGATGTATTTTCCTATGTACTTTTTATGTTTACGGTTTAAATGTACATGTGGCGTATTTGAGCAATAAATGTTTTCTTTCTTTCTTTCTAAAACCCTCTCGGAAATGAGGGGAGGCCTGTGCCCAGCAGTGGAACGTATATAGGCTGTAACTTTAATAAAATAGATAATTAATTATCGTGTATGTCCGATGTTTTCATTGCACAGCGCGATTTTGGACATTGTCATTTTCACCAATTGTAAATAAATTTTGAATGATTTTTTATTTACTAAATAGGCTATACCTCTTGAGTGGTACTATATATATAAATTTAAAGAAAACCTTACTTAACTCGAACTTGTGAACTTTAGTCTACTCAAAATGATTAACACATTACACAATAAAAAGTAAATACCGACTTCAAAGAACAAAAAGTAATAAAATAATTTACAAATAGTAGCGTCCGAATCCAACGACCTTAAAATCGACTTCCAAAGTTAGTAAGTTTTATAGTTGAAGTAGGTTAAAATATTGGAAAGATATAACTATGCCAGAATTTAAAGTTTTCTTAGGACTCTTATTCCATATGGGCACCATAAAATTGAACCTAATTCAAGATTATTGGAAAAAAAAATCGATTATTCAATCTTACCTTTTTCCGCCAACATATGAGCCGTAATAGATTCTTGCTTATTTTAAGAGTCCTTCACTTCGAAAACAATGTGTTGATGACAATAAGTTGGCAAAAATTTCGCTTCTCGTTACATATTTTAATAATCGGATGAAGGACATTTATTTTCCATCTAATAATTTATGTATTAACGAGTCACTAGTATTATGGAGAGGACGTCTTATATTTCGGCAATATATTAAAAACAAATACAATAAATATGGTATAAAATTATATGTCTTGACAGATGTTCACGGAATTATTCTAAAAACAATAGTTTATGCTGGTGCAGGCGATACGACTGTCGGTGGTACTAACCATTCTTCAAAAGTCGTTTTGAATTTATTACAAGATTATGTAAACAAAGGTTATTCTGTGTATGTGGATAACTTTTATAACTCTGTTGAGTTGGCAGAAAACTTTTTGTCACAAAAAACTTATTATACGGGCACCCTAAGACAAAATCGAAAAAAAAACCCTAAAGAAGTGGTTACCAAAAAGCTAAAAAAAAGGGTGAGTATGTTGCTCAATTTAATAAAAAAAGGTATCTGCGTAATGAAATGGCGAGATAGTCGTGATGTCCTTGTAATTTCATCAGAATACGATGCACAAATGACGCCAACTACAACACGTCGCAACACGGAAATAATAAAACCAAATATAGTGATAAATTATAATAAAAATATGGGCGGAGTTGATCATCAGGATCAAATGTTATCATATTACAGCTGTGAGCATAAGATTGTCAGGTGGTATAAAAAGTTGGGAATTCATATTCTACAACAAATTCTTTAATTTTTGTATAATTCTTTTACCATATACAAACTACTATCAGGTACTAAGAAGTCTTTATATGATTTCGGATTATCAGTGATCGAGAGTTTAATTCCTGATGTCAATATTACAAATTCTCGCACTTTTTCTAAAGTCAAGTAGTATTACAACCTTGTCCTCGGAAGGGGAAATTCAATGCGCCGGAGATGTAAAGTATGTTGGGAAACAGAAAAAAAAACGTAAAGACACCCCTTATAATTGTCCTGATTGTGATGAGCAGTCTGGTCTTTGCATTACCAACTGCTTTAAATTGTATCACAATTATTAATTAATAAAATATTTTTCTAATTAGAACTTTTATTTAAGTACTTTATTTTTCATAAAGACATTTTCATTGCAGATTTTCAGTCATTATTATTTTGCTAGTTACGCATGTGATTACATAACATCATCCATTGTACCAACGCAAGGCTTGCGTTACCGGCTCTGCTAAAAAAAATATCTGTGTGCCACCAACGCAACATATGAATTTACGGTTTTTTTCTGTATTTTGAGTTTTTTTTTTAATTATTTGACTATTTATAATATAGATAGTTATATTTATTTCAAACCCATTAACACAAAAAAAAACAAAGTGGATCATAAAGAAAAGAAAAAAAATCTGGTGGCATTGAGTGGGTTAACACTGGCAACATGCACTGGTTGTACAATCTGATACCATGTCTATCATAGAATTCGAGCTCCATCATGAAATATCATAATGTTTACGAATATCTAATGCTATAGCCTTAATGAAATTCCGATGTGAGCGTTAATTAAAAGCATCTATCAAATTGACTCCGTGAGTTTTTTTGACACTGTGTTGATATATGATCACCATTATTTCTTCAACAAATCTTAATGAAAAAATCGGCTAATTCATAAATAACTGCCGACGTCTATTTAACTTAGAAAAGTGTTAGTCTAAATGTAATAACTGCTCTAACTAAGTGTATGTCTGAGAAAATTTAACTTTTAATAAAACTTACTAGCTTTGGAAGTCGATTTTAAGGTCGTTGGATTCAGACGCTACTATTTGTAAATTATTTTATTACTTTTTGTTCTTTGAAGTCGTATTTACTTTTTATTGTGTAATGTGTTAATCATTTTGAGTAGACTAAAGTTCACAAGTTCGAGTTAAGTAAGGTTTTCTTCAAATATATACACATATATATATATATATATATATATATATATTTCTTCAAATATATACATATATATATAGTTGGTACAATGGATGATGTTATGCAATCACATGCGTAACTAGCAAAATAATAATGACTGAAAATCTGCAATGAAAATGTCTTTATGAAAAATAAAGTACTTAAATAAAGGTTCTAATTAGAAAAATATTTTATTAATTAATAATTGTGATACAATTTAAAGCAGTTCGTAATGCAAAGACCAGACTGCTCATCACAATCAGGGCAATTATAAGGGGTGTCTTTACGTTTTTTTTCTGTTTCCCAACATACTTTACATCTCCGGCGCATTGAATTTCCCTTCCGAGGACAAGGTTGTAATACTACTTGGAATTTAGAAAAAGTGCAAGAATTTGTAATATTGACATCAGGAATTAAACTCTCGATCACTGATAATCGGAAATCATATAAAGACTTCTTAGTACCTGATAGTAGTTTGTATATGGTAAAAGAATTATACAAAAATTAAAGAATTTGTTGTAGAATATGAATTCCCACTGTTTAGGCCTAATTTAACGTTTGGCGGCCTGCTTCGGCGCTCGGGTCGAGCGGGAGGCGAGCCTGACGGCTGAGGCGCGGGGGGTGCGGGCTGGTGCGGCGTCCGGCCGCGCCGGCGTCGGCGTTTTTGCGGACACTTGCCGCAGAGCGTGGAACTGAGTAGTTGCGCGTCGTGTTAATAGTTTAGTCGCCCGCTGCCTCTGACGCCTATACTTCGCGAACCTGAGTTGTTTGCAACGCGGCCCGGTGGTATTGCAATTTTCACAAAGGTCGAGTTTGTTGTAACGCGAGTTCGGTTAAATCTTGTTGGATTTTATTGGATTAACCTAATGACAATTGACTTGACTCCAATTAACGAGTGAGAAACGAGTGTAATTTCCTAGATTCTTAAATTTTTGTGACGGACTGCCACTTCGATATAAAGAATAAAGGTGAAGCCTTGGGATCGGCGGTTCTGCAACCAGCGGGAAGTCAGGTTACATAATTTAACACAATCACAACACAACACAGTCAAGCACGCCCACACTTACACCTGAATCTTCCTAGGGTTGACCCTACTTCGAAGAAATAGGTAAGTTTTGTTTGGTTCCCTTTTTTACCGCTAACGTATAATATTCCACAAGCCATTTAGGCCGACCTCCTGTTACTCGTCGAGTGGAACCCCTGATGGGCCCGGGTCCCACGACCTTGCCCGGGTAACTAGAGGCCGTAACACCCACCTTTTTATACCACCTGACAATCTTATGCTCACAGCTGTAATATGATAACATTTGATCCTGATGATCAACTCCGCCCATATTTTTATTATAATTTATCACTATATTTGGTTTTATTATTTCCGTGTTGCGACGTGTTGTAGTTGGCGTCATTTGTGCATCGTATTCTGATGAAATTACAAGGACATCACGACTATCTCGCCATTTCATTACGCAGATACCTTTTTTATTAAATTGAGCAACATACTCACCCTCTTTTTTAGCTTTTTGGTAACCACTTCTTTAGGGTTTTTTTTCGATTTTGTCTTAGGGTGCCCGTATAATAAGTTTTTTGTGACAAAAGGTTTTTTGCCAACTTAACAGAGTTATAAAAGTTATCCACATACACAGAATAACCTTTGTTTACATAATCTTGTAATAAATTCAAAACGACTTTTGAAGAATGGTTAGTACCACCGACAGTCGTATCGCCTGCACCAGCATAAACTATTGTTTTTAGAATAATTCCGTAAACATCTGTCAAGACATATAATTTTATACCATATTTATTGTATTTGTTTTTAATATATTGCCGAAATATAAGACGTCCTCTCCATAACACTAGTGACTCGTTAATACATAAATTATTAGATGGAAAATAAATTTCCTTCATCCGATTATTAAAATATGTAACGAGAAGCGAAATTTTTGCCAACTTATTGTCATCAACACATTGTTTTCGAAGTGAAGGACTCTTAAAATAAGCAAGAATCTATTACGGCTCATATGTTGGCGGAAAAAGGTAAGATTGAATAATCGATTTTTTTTCCAATAATCTTGAATTAGGTTCAATTTTATGGTGCCCATATGGAATAAGAGTCCTAAGAAAACTTTGAATTCTGGCATAGTTATATCTTTCCAATATTTTAACCTACTTCCAGGAAAATTTTATGCTAATATCCGAGACGCATTCTCATTGCTTTTTTCAACAATCATTTGATGACATTCATTTGCCACTACAAGATTAAAATAATCAATTGGTACTGAACCCTCAGGTTGAATTTTTAATCCTACAGGATTTCCTTCAAAATTAATTCTTCTAGTCTGTCTATAGTGATTTGACCGTTCTTGATCTTCCTCAGTATTTCTAATAGGACTAATTCATCTTCACTTACAATTGATGTGTCGCTATCATTGTCAGAATGATTCATATTCTCAATGAAATCAGCATCAAAAATATCGTCATCATAATTCTCATCAGGGTCTTCAAGAATTTGTAGTAGTTGTTCATCTGATATGGGTAAGTTTTCATTTTCAGATCTGTTTGAGATATTTTCATGTTCTGTAGTGGTTCCAATGATGTCTGTTAATTCTTATTCAATACTTGTTTTCTTTCTATTGGAAGTAGAAGCTGAACAAGATTTACCACCACGTGTCCTTACACGTTTGCATGGTCTCTCTTGGGTAATTGGTGGCTTTTCATCCTCTGAACTGGTCTCGATATCAGATATCAATGTAATACTTGTCTTTATATTGGAAGTAGAAGCTGAACAAGATTTACCACCACGTGTCCTTACACGTTTGCATGGTCTCTCTTGGGTAATTAATGGCTTTTCATCCTCGGAACCAGTCTCGATATCCGATATCAATGTTGTTTTAATATTTGAAATATTCTCTTTCTCATGCAGGAAGTCGATGGATGCAGGTGGCTCAGGACCGTGCTTTGTGGCATACCTTGGGGGAGGTCTATGTTCAGCAGTGGACTTGTAAAGGGCTGTAATGATGATGATTCTCTTTTGAAATTCAGGGTGAAGCAAACTTGTCACCACGTATTCTTACATGCCTGCGTGTTTTCTCTTTGTTGTCTTTTAACTCTGAGAAAACTTGTTCATAACTAGACTGTCTAGAAGTATCAGAATCTCATGTATCTAGCTTAAAAGAACAGGCCATTATTTCTTTTTCGCTTATTTTAACCATTACCGATTATCCAGCGTTTTCTCCTATATTGATTCTAGAATTTATTGGTTATGGTAAAGTACCACTAACATTAAAAATAGTTCCCCGTGAATTATCTGATATAGGGTAATCCTTTTCTACAATATCCATGACCATTAATTTAGGATTCATTATTTTATTTTGACTAATCCAACTTCGTAATGGGCCAGATGTTGATGTAAATTGCATTGCAGATTGCGCGAATTCTCTTACAGTAGATTCATGGAAAATAGGAATGGACAATTCCAGTTTTTTTTTAAATGAGGCGAAGTGACATCCCTAGAATTTGTGAAGACATTTGTATTTTTTATAAACCGTAATCTGAATAACAGCGTGTACAAATAATTTTGTATGTTAAATACCTACCTTTTTGAATGCTGAATATTGTGAATTATAGATTCTTTATGGTCTAATGCATTGCAAGATTCTGTATGAGTCTCACATTCAAAATGTTTTGATAATACCTTTGCTCGTCTCCTGGTCCAATTTTGGCCAGTGAATCTGAAAATATCAAAACAACATTAAGAACAATCAAAACAAACATGCTAAATAACTGTTTATTTAATATTACGAACATTGATGGCAAAAGTATATCTTCTTGTGATGAATTTAGAGATTCTTTATTAGATGCCGGTTTGACATGTGTTAAAACAGATCTGGCTCGTTTCCTGTAAATGACATTTACTAAAGAAAATGAAACAAACATTTTTGTTGCTTATTTGGAATAGGCGGAAGTTGGTATTTACTTATGAGAATGATAAAATGTTTGAGCCTGTGATGTGGAGGAATTATATGAATCAGACCTAAATTCAGATATACTTTGAAATTGTGCTGACAAAGACCTTGCTCGTTTCGGCCCCAATCTTTGACTAGAACCACAAGACCACAAGATGTAGTTTTTGAAACCTGTCTGTAATAACCATACATATATATATATACAATACACAATTAACTTCAAACCAATTTCAAAATTATATAGTACACAATACAATTACAATACAAAACAAAGTACACAATTAAAGTTAAGTTACAATTTTGCTCTATTCGAAGTGTTCAGGGAGCTGTTATGTGTCTCTATTTGATTAAGAGCTAAACTCACCAGCCTAGCACTGCGCTGTTTTTTGCCATCTGCCATTTTTCTCGATATTTATCTAAACATAAGTAATAAAACATAACACAGGAAATGTGCATTTTTATGACTTCATCATCATCATCATCATCACAGCCCTTCACAAGTCCACTGCTGAACATAGGCCTCCCCCAAGTAATGCCACAAAGCACGGTCTTGAGCCACCTGCATCCATCGACTTCCTGCATATCTTACCAGGTCGTCACTCCATCTAGTGGGGGGTCGCCCTACACTACGCCTACCGGTACGAGGCTGCCACTCGAGAACCTTTCTTCCCCATCGGTTATCGGTTCTTCGAGCTATATGGCCGGCCCATTGCCACTTCAGCTTACTAATCCGTTGGGCTATGTCGGTCAATCTGGTTTTACTGCGGATATCCTCATTTCTGAGTCTATCACGCAGAGAAACTCCGAGCATAGCCCTCTCCATAGCTCGCTGAGCGACCTTGAGCGTCCTCATACGGCCAGCAGTGAAGGACCACGTCTCTGATCCGTAAGTCATCACTGGCAACACGCACTGGTTGTACACTTTAGTTTTCAGAGATTGAGGTATACCTGACGAGAAGATATGTCGTAATTTCCCGAACGCTGCCCAGCCGAGTTGAATCCGTCGATTGACCTCTCGGTCGAAGTTGGACTTACCTAGTCGGACTATTTGTCCCAGGTAAACGTACTCGTCAACAACTTCGAGCATAGTGCTCCCAACAACTACCGGCATAGGTGTGACATGGACATTAAACATAATCTTTGTTTTGTCCATGTTCATCTTAAGACCTATCCGTTGGGAGGCACTATTGAGGTCATTGAGCATAGTGCTTAAGTCCACCAGCGATTCTGCCATAAGGACTATATCGTCGGCAAATCGAAGGTGAGTGATGTACTCGCCATTAATGTTAATACCGTATCCTTTCCAGTCCAGTAGCCTGAAAACGTCTTCCAAAGCAGCGGTGAAGAGTTTCGGGGATATAACGTCACCCTGTCTTACACCTCTCTGCAGTTGGATAGGTTTCGAGCTCTGGTTCTGTACTCGGATAGCCATCGTAGCCCTACTGTACAAACACTTCAGCACTTCGATATACCGACAGTCAACTTGGCACCGCTGAAGGGACTGCAGCACCGCCCAAATTTCGACGGAATCAAAGGCTTTCTCATAGTCCACATACGCCAGGCAAAGTGGCAAATTGTACTCTTCAGTCTTCTGTACAATCTGCCGCAGGGTATGTATGTGGTCTATGGTACTGAAGCCTTTTCGGAAACCGGCTTGTTCGGGAGGCTGGAAGTCGTCGAGTCTGCGTGCGAGACGATTCGTAATGACTCTCGAAAACAGCACGTAGACGCGGCTCAGAAGGGAAATCGGTCTGTAGTTCTTCAAGAGAGCGTTGTCGCCTTTCTTAAAGAACAAGACCACCGCACTTCTGCTCCACGCCTCTGGAGTAGTGCCACCATGGAGGACGGAATTGAAGAGCTTCTGAAGGACTTCAAGTACCGGTGTTCCACCCGCTTTCAGAAGCTCCGCTGTAATTCCATCCTCGCCTGGGGCCCTGCCGTTTTTAAGGTGCTGGAGAGCCATTCTAATCTCGCTTAGACTGACGTCCGGGATATCATCGGAATAGTGTCGGATAAGACTTGCTCTTGGATCGTTACTCACACTTGCGTGTGGCTCCAACGATGATGTGTACAGCTGCCCATAGAACCTCTCAATCTCACTCAAAATCTCAGGTGTCCCGGAAACGATGCTGCCACACTCAGTCTTCAGCCTTGACAGTTGGCTCTTTCTGGCAGACAGATCTCTGGCAAAGACTTTGGAGCCCTGGTTCCGCTCGATCGCTTCTTTAATACGAGCAGTATTAAAGTTGCGTAAGTCTCGCCGCATGCATTTGGAGATCTGTCTGTTCAGTTGCCTGTATGCTGTCAAATCTGTTGACGATTGCAGCCTCATCTCCCGTCTAACAGCCATGAGATTAAGAGTGTGATCGGAGAGTTTTTGTGTTCTTCTGCGGCGGGTCTTGCAGAACTTAGCTCCGACCGCATGGACAGTTTCCACGAGCTTGTCATTCATATCGTCCACTGCATTGCAATCTTGTAGGCACTGAAAGCGGTTGTGTAACTCGAGCTGAAAGTTTTCGGGATTTTGGATCAGAGCACGAGGGGGACGGAGCGTTGACTTCATTAGACGAGACCTCTCCAACTTAACGTTTAGGTTCAGTGTGCCTCTAACCATTCGGTGATCGCTGCCAGTTTTCACCCTTGCGATCACTGAGACATCACTGAACAGTTGGCGTCTGGTCGTCATAATGAAGTCAATCTCATTTTTTGTCGAACCGTCGGGGCTCGACCAGGTCCACTTCCTGTGGGGCCGCTTCTGGAAGAAAGAGTTCATCATAAAGAGTCCCTCTTTCTCCATAAAGTCGGCCAGCTGCTGGCCCCTTCGGTTCCGTTGCCCTACTCCAAATTTCCCTAACTTCAGCTCACCGTTTTCTCTTGTGCCTAGTTTTGCGTTGAAGTCTCCCATCAACACCGGTGGGTTTTGGAGGAATGTATGGCTTTGGAAATATCCTCATACATTTCCTCCACCTCCTCATCGGAATGTGCCGACGTTGGTGCGTAAACCTGTATGACCTTCAGCGAATACCGTTTGGTGATTCTGAGTATCAGGTACGCGACCCTCGTCGACACACTCTCAATCTGTACAACGTTGTTGACGAGAGACTTGTGGACGATAAATCCGACACCTCCTTGGGACAGATGGTCGCCCTCCCCGGTGATAGAACAAGTTGCCGGATTCGAGAATCACCGTGTCCTCCCCCTCTCTTCGGACCTCGGATAATCCTATAATACTCCAGCGCAACTTGTCTATCTCTTCTTCCAGCTCCAGGATCTTCTCGTCAGTCCTCAGTGTGCGTGCGTTAAATGTTGCCAGGTCGAGTCGTCGTAGGTGGCAACCGAACCTCCACCGGAGATTCTTAGCACCCCCTGCCCCGCCGTTACCATGGTCGCCACCGTAGCCAGGAATAGCGGGGCCGCCGGGGACTGGGGGCCGTCTATTTGTGTAATTGTTCATGGGAGGTATATTGCCATAGTTGCCACGCTTGGCGAGCGGGTTGGCAACCGCAGTTTTTTTTTGTCGTACAGTTGCTGTTATCAGGAAGATGCTGCTGCCCATCTCCTGCCTGTCTCCCTCTGTCGCCTCTTACGACACCCACGGGAAGATATGGGGTAGTGGATATTCTTAACCGCCACTACACGGTGACGGTTAAGAATATCCACTACCCCGGTTTATGACTTGCACTGCATCTATTAAGTATTTTTATTTTACTTTTTGTAGTAGGTAGTTAACATTACAATAAAACCAAGCTACAGAAGTTTGATAATCAACTGATTACTAATTACTAATCTAAGGTAGACTGGTAGATAATGCCTCAGGCATTAAGTCCGCGTATATACATCTAATGTGTATATGAAGTTAAATAAATAAATAATTACACTACATCTCATAAGTAGACACAAATAATAATCAAAAGTATTACACTAACAAACTAATGAAAATGTTAGCATAATACCATCCCAACAATTATTGTCAGTGTGTGCCATTCAACGCACCATTTGCGTTGAAATTTAAATATTATCATTATTGTCGGAATCTGATTATAAATGTATAATCTACAGAAATAATGAATGATAATAAGCACTTACCTTTCGATTTTATATAATTAATCACTGTCTTAACACGAATAAACATACAATTTACGACGAAAATCACAGCACTTTTCCCACTTCACCCACATGAAAAAAGACCATCGATTCGAAAATGTCACTTTCTGTTTTGAAAATAACGAACCATCAAATTTGACAGATAGCAGTGACGTTTGTCTATGGTTTATCGATGAAAGTATTCGCACATTTCTGAACGCACCTACAAAAAATATTTAGTCAGTTTATGATAGTCACAACGCCTATGGTGCGTTGGTGGCAAACACCAAGAAGTGCGCGGAACACAAGGGGTGCGTTGCCGGAGGCGAATGAGTTAACGTATGGATCTGAGACGTGGTACTACACTGCTGATGATATGAGGAAGTTTAATGTCGCTTAGCGAGATTCAAAGATTTTCTGTGTGGTAGATTTAGAATTGAGAATAACAGTAGTAGAACGTCTCAACGGCGCAGTAAGCTGAAGTGGCAATGGGCTGACCACATAACTCGAAGCAGCAACAGCTGATGGAGAGTAAAGGTTCTCCGTAGCAGTCTCCCTTAACTCCAAAAGCCCATTAGATGGAGTGTTCTTACCAGGACCTATACATAGACTTCTTACATCTCTTCTCAGGTCGGTAAGTGATGTTCAATGGATGCAGGACTATTCTATGTGGCATTTCTTGGGAGAGGTCTATGTTCAGCAGTGGATTTGAGAAAGGCTCTTATGATGATGTTATAAGAATAAGAAGTAAATTTAGAATTCATTAGGAAAAATCATTATTGATTTATTATAAATAGGCGAACACCACTATATTTAACTACTACTAATTTAACTACTACGAACTGATTTTTTACGGACAAGATCGTGTATATTAACTTATTTTATATTTCTGATGTTTCGAACACTTTACAGCACCTATGGTCACGGGGGGGACTGAAGTGTTTGACGTCCCAATGTTAACCACGGCTACCTCAAAATCAAACTTATTACTCGTAATTTTTGATCTATGTAGTATGAACTTATAGTATCTTGAAATCTTGCAGTTGTATGCTTGGGTTGGAATTTAATTTTAATAATTATAGGAGCCCTAGCAGACGGTAATGGTGATGGATTAAAATTAGTATATTCTTTGATTTCAATAACCTCGCGAATCATCCTTGGAAGGAACTGATGTTCTTTACGGTGTTTTCGGACATTACACTTGACTGATGGCAAAAACTGACTAATCTTCTTGGACGGCTTGAAGTGTTTTTCATAAAAACACGCTTTAAGATGAAGCCAATCTTGTTCGTCAAGTGACACCTGTGACATATGGCA